GGGTTCCGATCCCTATATAGGAATGGCTGGTTAGCTCACTTCTGAGAGTGTGGTGCTGACACCACCAAGTCTAGGGTTAAGATCCCCTTACCGGTCATCTTTTTTTTGTTGTTGTTGTTTTTTAAGAGTAACTTGACAGTGGAGAAACCTGACAGACACTACCTCAGCCAGGCGGTCAGGGTTAACAAACACTACCTCAGCCAGGTGATCTCATCATAAGAGCATGTACCCTTGATCTGAAGTGATGAGAATGGCATTTTGTCTCTGTGGTCTTCCTCCCAAAACAATCTTCTGTATAATCACCAGGAAAGCATCTGACAATCCCAAAAGAAAAATCCCTGACCGGTACACCTCAAAACTGTCAAGGTCATCAAAAACAAAAAGTTTAAGTACAATCACCAAAATTAAAAACTTGATGGATGGATGTGGTATCAGAGTGTATACAGCAAAATGATGAATAAAATGGCAGATGAGGTGAAATTAACAAGAATGCAGCAGAAAGAAGGGGGAAGGATAGCTGGAAAATATGGAAGAAAGGTTAAAATATCTAGAAGATAGACTGAGAAAGGTGGCCAAGTCAAATATACATTTCATTGTAACTTCAGAAAACGAGAGAGTATAAGAGGGGTATTATTTGAAAATGCCTGAGAATTTTCTCGAACTGATAAAAGACAGCAATCCACAAATGCAGGAATCCTAACAAATCCCAAACAGGATAAATAAAAAGAAATACAGCCCTAGACATAGTATACTGAACTGTAGAAAACGAAAGAGAAAATCTTAGCAGCAGAGGGAAAAAAAAATTACCTTCAAAGGTGTGACAAACTAATGCTAACTTCAAAACAGGAACAATGGAAGGCAGAAAACAGTGGGATGAAAGAAATGAAAGGGAACCTAGAGAAAATACACAGTATTTAAAGAATCGGTAAAATTAAGATATTTTCAGACAGTTCTTCACCAGCAGATCCACACTAAGGGAAATTCCAGATGGGGACAGAGGTAAAAAGTTTAAGTGATTTGAAGGCTTCTGTCATCCAAGAGGACAGTAAAGACATCGGTTAACTTTAAGTGTGGATACAATAAATAAGCACGTTGTATAACCACTATAAAACCACTAAAAAACAGAAACAGGCAAAACTAACATACTAAGAGAAGGGGAAAAAGAGGGAAAAAAGAAAGAAACCTAAAAAATTAGAACAAATAGGATAAGATGATAGATTCAAGCCCAAATAAAATCAATAATAACGGGCCGGCCTGTGGCTCACTCGGCAGAGTGCGGTGCTGATAGCACCAGGGCCACGGGTTCGGATCCCACATAGGGATGGCCGGTTAGCTCACTGGGTGAGCGTGGTGCTGACAACACCAAGTCAAGGGTGAAGATCCCCTTACCGGTCATCTTTAAAAAAAAAATAATAATAACATCATAAGAATATATTAAATATGTTGTTCCTGTTGCTCTGTTTCTGAGTGACTTTAGCATGCTCCAGATGTTCCTAATTTGAAAA